GGGTTTAAGAGTTTTAAGAGTTTAAGAGTTTTTAAGAGTTTTAGCCAAATGCTTTATAATATAGTATATATTACTAGTTGTGTACCCGCGCAATGCGGCGGGATGTAATTTTTTCTTTTTACAAATGAAAAATAAAATAGTATTTTGATAAATATGTAAAAAGTAATGGCCATCAAAATTATTTTTGAAGAAAAAATAAAATTATATAATCGTTACAACTTTAATCATTTATCTCAGTCTCGTTTTAGAACGTTACGATCATCATTTTGGAAACATAACATACCAAGAGCCAAAGAGGTTTACACATGTTCAGTTCTTGGCACTTTGCTTGACTCGGGTAGCCATCCGCATAGCTCATGAGCCTTCCCTTAATAGTTGGTTGGATATGTAGTTATACCTGTGTATTTGAACCGGGTTGAGCCTGAGCTGCTCAGCTAAATGCTCAAAATGTAAAAAAGGTAAGTACGCTCAGGTTGGGGATTGGTTTGGCTGGCCTAAGGATCGAGCCTTGGCTCGGCTCACATACAGTAAGTTCCAATCAGCCCATTATTGTTGTAACGTTTACTGGCTGCAAGGTGTCCAAATCCTTCATCCTTGAGCGGTCTTCAGGCTATACTCCGGCCTCGGCCTATGCCGGTCAGACAGGCGAACTTCGTTTCCGGTTTGTCGGATCCTCCCAACAGCTCCATCCTTTTTATCATCCCTAACCTCATCCAACGGCACCTGCTCGACGTTCTGTTTAGGTTGCGTGGTAGTAGACTTTGCCACACTCCGGAGAYGTGCGTTTGACTTCGACCGGCGATCTGGAGCAGGTATCTGTTGTCTGCAAAACCACCAACAGTATTGTGAGAAGAAAACCTAAGATTTTGAAGAACTCTACCAGAGATGAAGAACGTAACCGAGAATGGAGAATGGAGAATGGAGAAACGAAAGAGTAATACACCTCTGGAGAATAGCAATCGTTGCCTTGAACCAGGATCAAAGTTGTCTTTCAATATTCCCAAGGCGATGAAGCGATTTGCAAGTTGTGCGTCCACGCCTCCTCTTTCGTACGGAGAAGATCAAGAGATCTTAAGATTCATGCTTCAATTAGTGGTACATACTGCAATAAAAATTGTCTTTAAGACTTTATGCATAAAAAAGTTGTACTTCATGCTGCATAGGTTGTCTTTAAGACTATAAGACTTTTACCAAATCTCATTTATAAGATAGTATAGATATTATTAAACCAAAAATAAATTATTTTATTATTAAACTTAAATTAAATTATAATAATAAAAAATAAATTAAAGAAATTACATAAAAAATGAAAATTTTAAATAGTTGATTTGATATTAACATTGATATTTTTTTTAAAATTTTTTTACAATATCTTCAAATTTATATTTTATTCAAAAATAAAATCATTATTGTTTTCTTAAAAACACATAAAATCGTATTATAACATCGACAAAGACAAATAATAAAATAGAACATTAAAATCGAGATGTGTCTCGCTGCATTGCGCGAGTACTCTTCTAGTATAT